AATGGCTGTCTGGGTCAGACCAAAGGTCCATATAGCCCAGTTGCCTGTCTGCCGACAGTGGCCAACAGTGACCGAAGACAGTGACCAAGCCATTTGTCTCGTGCCATCCCTCTCCAGCCTTCCACAAACTTTGGGCAGGGACACCACTCCTACCCCCTGGCTAAGACTACTCCATGGACCCAACCTCCATGACTTGATCTCACTTCCCTTTAAACTCTGTTCTAGTTGTAGCCTTCACAGCCTCCTGCAGCAAGGAGTTCCACAGGTTAACTATTTGCTTTGTCAAGAAGAACAACTTTCTCTTACTAGTTTCAAGCCTGCTACCCATTCCTTTCCTTTGGTGTCCTCTAGTCCTTCTTTATGGGAACTCAGGAAGAACTTTTCTGAATGCACCCTCTCCACCCAACCCCTGCTTTTAGAGACCTCTATCCTGTCCCCCCTCCGTCTCCTCTTTTCTAAGCTGAACAGTCCCAGTCTCTGTAGCCTCTCTTCATCTGGGACCTGTTCCCAACCCCTGATCATGTTAGTTGCCCTCCCCTCTCCCAGCCTTTCTCTTCCCCTCTCCCACCTCCTTTTCCCAGTCTCCCCCAGTTTTGTTCAATAAAGACAGAGTCAATGTTGGAAGAAACGTTATCTTTATTTTGTACATCAATAAGAAGGGGGGCTAGGGAAGGGTAAGTGGAAGGAGGTGAGGGAGGAATGGGGTATGAGCCCCCGATGGGGAGGACTGGGCTGGCTCTGCGGGCTTCTGGGGGTGGAAGCTCTCCTGCAGCCCCCCAATTACTCCCTCTCCCCAGATGGCAGCCTGCGGCAAGTGCAGCCGGGCTGATGGCTGAGTGGTGTGATGTGCCCAGTGTGGGCACTCAGGGCACTCCAAGCCAGAACTTCTTTGCAAGCGGGGCACCCCTTAGAACTGTGTGTCCGGGGTGGGGGTCGGGACCCTTTAAGCACAGCCCTCGGCTAGCCTGAGACAGCATCTCCACGCTCTAAGTCCTCCTCTGATGCCCTGCCGGCACTGCTTCCGGCCATCCTTAAGCCCGGTTCAGGGTCCACTTAATGTGGACATGCTAGTTCGAATTAGCAAAACGCTAATTCGAACTAGTTTTTAGTTCTAGACGCGTTAGTTCGAATTAGCTTAGTTCGAATTAACTAATTCGAACTAAGTTAGTTCGAATTAGCGCTGTAGTGTAGATGTACCCTATGTTAACTGTTTAAAGCTTGCAATAAATAAGAAAATGATTAAATCTTTTTGGAGTGTTCTGGTTTCCCTTGGATCTAAAAACCAATCCACACAACAGCTGCCAACAAGATAGTCCTCCATAAGCCTAGAAGAAATACTGACCAATCAAGAGCCAGTGGGTCAATTAAGAAGACTTGCCTGCTTCTTCTCAGTGGCAGAATTGGGTGACAGAGCAGGAGTGCCTCAGTGCTAGCCAAGAACCAGGTCAGGACTTTGTCCAAGTGCTACAGCTAAGCACTTTCTTTTGATTGTTTTCTTCATTTAAAGGAAGTGACAGCTGTTTGTGTTTTGCTAATCAACTGCATAGAGACCGATACCAAGCTTGTGACACAGCTAACCTATGCCCAACAGATGGCCTAAACTTTGAGCATACAGATCCCTTTTCAATCTATTAATTTCACAGACCCGAGTCCTTGGAAGCGAATAAGAAAAGTGGTTATCGTTATTTTTAAACTTTCCCCGGATCTCCTGTAGTACCGTGGTGGACAACCAAGGGTCTGTGGATCACACGTTGGGAACCACTGGCCTAAATGTATGGATTAAGTCCAGGGGTGCTTGTAATACCAGGCTTGGTCCCACAGTGGGTGCTACGGAGAAGCCTCACCTCCCACAGTGAGCATGAGTAAAAGCACAGGCAAGTTTAGAGACATAATATTTCACAATACTAATGTTTATTATGTTTGTAATGCTATTGCAGTCTCTTCTCTACACCAGACAGCAAATAGTCTCCTTACTGCAATTCCTCACCGAGATCAGTTCCTTTTATGAAACCTACAAGAACCCAGTTGACCCAGTAATGTATTTGTTTATTTCTTGTATGAGTTAATTAATAGTTCATGTGTGTGAAGAACATAATGTTAAAGATACACACATACACACCACAGTTTTATCTGACAAGACATATGCTTATCAGCTTCATCTCTTTTGCTGGCATACTGTATCTTTCTTACCTTTTTTAGGATACATACTATTCAGGACAAGGGTTGTATCCACTCTATGGACAGCTCTATAGTAGGCTATATTACATGAACAATAAGTGGTAAGCCAGTGAAGGAGGGATGCTTAGAGAGGTGGGAGAGAATGTAGGAAAAGTAACATCTGCATTCTTTTAAGAAATGTATTCAATAGCTTTGCTACCCCCGCCCCACCCTGCCTTTTTATCCAGAAACCAGGGCTTTAGCCTCCATGGTTGTGTCCTCTTACAAATCTGATTTTGGTCACAAGTGATAAAGATTCAAGTCCCTCACGTTCAGTGGAAAAACCTGTTTCCCATTATCAAATATTTGTTTAGAACCCAATTCATATGGCAAGCGAACTATGCCAGATTAAAATGGGAACATTTGATGACTCTGGGCTACATCCTCCACTGCTGCATATCGGCATAACTATAGACATATTACCAATGATGTCTGTTTAAACTAGCTGAGGATCTTTCCAATATTCCTCTCTCTCCCTTTCATCCTTTTCATATAAAGCAATACTATGTGGGAAAGAATATTTCAGGAGGTAGCTTATAACAAAAGTTCGTCTTGAATTTCTGTCTTATTTGGGGAAAAAGATCACACAAAACATAACAAAATTAAATATTAGAGCTGGCCATTTCAGTGCTACAATGTTCTGAATAGCTACCGGGAACGTGTTATGTTAGCAGTGGACGAGTCATTCTTCAAGCGATTGTTTTCTCTCCCACAAGATGTTCTATAGAAAACTGAAATAGTTTTTTTTGCTGGTGTCAGGAAGAGTGTATGAACACCCACTGCCCTCAAAAAGGGATATGTTTTGTCTGGAACTCTAGTCTTAAAATACTCCTGGTATTAGTCGGTAAGGAACTACAGTAGTATAGCGCTTCCAGTCCTTGCCATATTTGCTGGAGCAACGGTGTTCATCTCTGATGCAGCGGTGGGTCAGCAGAATGGTCATGTAAATTATGTAGAAATAAGGCAGGATGTGCCCAAAGCCACAAGTCAGACAATATGCTAGGGAGCCCATCAGGTCACCAGTGTAATTAAAGTGACGTGCCACTCCCCAGAATCCTGAGATCATCAGCTTGCTGTAGTATTTTGTCCCATCCACTGATGTGTAGGAGCATTCAATGTATTCCGGCTTCTTACCCCAGATTTTGCAGTTTCCATCTGTGCGACGGAAGAGATCTTTTTGGTGGTTGGTCATCCTGAAGATATAATAGCCAACCAGCCCCAACAGCAGGATCCCAACAGCATTAGCTGTTGAGAGCTGTACAGGATGGTAAACCAGATATAAACCCTGCAGATGAGGAAAAGTTAAGAGGTTTTAATGAATTTCTGTAAATGCATTTTTCCTCAAAGCTGAATGGCACCCTCCTTGCCTGGAGGATGCCAGACTACTTCTCTAAGTAAATGAATACCCAGGGAAGAGGGGAGTAGACCCACACTACAAATGCATGGCTCTCTCTCCAGGTAAAGCCACAGGTGGTTCTTAGGAAACCACCCATCTTCTTTCACTGTGACAGCATTCTAGGTGGCTGTAGGTACAACTCATAAGTACAGCATTACAGGTTCGGGCAGCAAGCAGCCTGTCCTCTGCTATCATGGCATGCAGCTTAGGCTTGGTTGGGACCAGTTATCTTCACACCCCGGTGATTACGAGGTTTCTGGTGAAGCCTCTGGGGTAACAAGAACGGGGAAAAGGCTGGAAAGATGGTGGGAAGGGGGGTGCACTACAAAACAAGCCATGATTAGAACAATGACAACAAAAACCAGAGAAGAAGAACAACAACAACACATCTGAAGTAAAATACACAAAAGTAAGACAGCAATAAACAAGAAAGACAATGTGTGTTTGTGGGGGGGAGGGGAGGCAGAAAATGAACAGAAAAAATAAGACAGATAGCAGGTAGGACCAGACAAAATATGAAGACATGGTGCTTGGAGACATAGTGGGGCCCCATCCACTGTGGGGGGTGAGTGAATACACCCCTGTATTCATAGCCTACACTACTGTAACAATCTTTGTAAAAATGGGCATTATAAAGTATCATTTAAAAACTCAAATTGCTGGTCAATACTGTCTTATTAAAATATGTGTGGCAACAATGCATGCGAAGTTATAAGATTCCCCTGTGTGTTATTAACACATGTTCCAAACATCACAGCCCTGTGGGTCTGTCCTAAACAAAGAAATATGCCTGCTGCTTAATTTGCATTTAAGCAGTAAACAGTCATCAAGCAGGAAGGGAAGACAAGGGAAGTTCAAACAGAGGGAAAAAAAACCACCCCAGCAGCAAATATATTTTCACATAGACTCTTTGGCTCCTGGGTCTCAGCTGGAAATGTTTTTCCAAGAGGGAAAAAAACTATAAAAAAGAAACAAAAGACCTAAAGCCCTCCAGCACTGCCCCACACACCTCCATTCATCACATACGCTGCATCTGAAGAGACAAAGGAATCAGGTGTTGAACTCTGAGGGAAGGCTCCTGACCTAAACTGTTTGCTAAGTAGGATTGCTGAAATCATGTGGTGAGATAATCTACAATAGATTCAAAGCAAAAGTTAAGTAGCATCACCAGGAATTTTATCTTTATTTTCCCCTATAACCATGTCTGGGTTTCATGCCTCATTACTTGTACTCGCTTACAATCTCTCTGTGTAGCTAATAAACTTGTATGATCTAATCCAATGTATCCATATTGAAGAGACTGTGAAATGACATTTGAGAGAACAGTGGTATGCATATTATTCCTGTAAAGCAGTCGTTTTCCAACTTTTTTCCTTATGACCCAGTTGAAGAAAATTGTTGATGCCCACGACCCAACAGTTATATCTTTTGACTAAAGTGAGAGCTATGGGGTGAGGCCAGGATATGGTTGGTGGGTGGGGGAGAGGGCTCCATGTGGGTATGCAGGCTCTGGAGTGGGATAGGATGAGGGTTTTGGAGTATAATAATGGGTTCCAGGCTGGGAGGCAGGACAGAGGGGTTCATGGTATTTGAGGAAGCTCTGGGGTGCGGATGGGTTTCAGGGTGGATGTAGGCCACATCTGGGGGTACTGGATCTGGGGTGGAATGGAGATACAGTGTTTGGAGTGTAGGAGGGGGCTCTGAGTTTGGAGAGGCTCAGGGCTGGGATAGAGGGTTGGTGCTCAGGGTTTGGGCATGAGCTTTCCTCTGCCAGCTCCCAGTTAGTGCAGCAAGGTTGCTAAGGCAGGCTTCCTGCCTGTCCTGGCACCGCCGACTGCACTGCACCCCAGAAGTGGCCAGCAGTAGGTCTGGTTCATAGGCAGAGGTGTATAAGTGGCTTTGTACGTTGCTTTTACCCAAAGACACTGGTCCCCAGAGCTCATGCCCAGGGTGGAGGCAGTGTAGGGAGCCCCCATCTAGCCCCACCTAGAAGCTGGACCAGTTGCTGGCCACTTCTGGGGCACAGTGGGGTCTGCAGTGCCAGAACAGAGAGGAAGCCTGCCGTAGCACTACTGCTAGTCACCCTACAGCAAAGTGACCCTGACATTCTGTGACCTGGTACTGGTCGCAACCCTTAATTTGAAAGCCACTACTGTAAAGGAATGGGCTCAATATATCTGCGCTGTCCAGGAGAGGGCCAGGCAGTACAGAACATACATTTCTGAGGGAAAATCTGGGACTGGGAGTGTGTTGGTGTCACTCTGTGGTAATATTTAAGCCTGGTAAAACTCAAGGTCTGGCTGGCTGGCTGCAGCACACGCAGCTGGGAGTAAAATTACATGCTGGAGGCTGATAGTGAGCAGCAATACATTGCAAAGGGCACCCTAGTTCAAGAGAAAGGGTGACAAAACTACTCGTTAATCTGGATTGTACCCTGGTATGTCACAGCAGGTCATGCTATTGGGAAACATGCTTTTAGGATTTCTGTATTTGCTTTTATCTTGTTCTGTTTCCATGAAAATGCTATTCTCGATACAACTGTATTTTTACCTGCAAAGTGTAGAGGTAAGGCAGCCAAACACAGTCTCCCCAGCCCAGGTACCATCCAAAATGATCATGGCAGATATCAATAGTTTTCAAATACCAAGCTTCATTCCAGAAGAAGTCCAAAACATAAATACCCTGGAAATAAATGTCTTATGCTTAGAACAATGTTCTGTGGGTATTAAAACATTTGTAATAGTCGCTCTATGTCACTGTACTAGGTTCAGGATGCTGGTTTAAAATTGTGGCAACAACCTGATAATCTTTCTGCATTTTTACAATAGCAAAACAGTATTTATTAAATATTAACATACTTGTATTAATGTACATATGTATAATTGGAGTTCAGTGCTTTCAAGGCGACGCTAAACCAGTGCTAATGTTCCCTACTTATTAGAGCCAAACCACTTTAGACAGACAATAGTAACAGCACAGCCATGCAGTGCAATGGACTGTGATGTCTGCAGGTAAACAAAACCAACTTAAACCTGTTAGGCATTTCACTGGACCTAGGTAATAAATCACATCTGATCACGAGATCCAGTGCTAGCGTAATGATACACAAAGGCACAGTGGAGTACTTCAAGACACATTGGAGTGTTAGTTATTAACTGTGTGTGTTGGTTTAAGTTAAAGCTTTAATCTATCCGGTCATCTGAAGAAGTGAGTTGCTCCCACAAAAACTCATGATACCATCTACATGTTCTGTTAGTCTTTAAGATGCTTCTAGACTATTTGTTGTTTTTAAGTTTTTCTATCTAGTTTGTCAACTTTTGCTTGACAGATTTCAACATCCTGCTCCCAGCAAGACTGACAGCAGCCACAGCAGGAGACAAAGTGCATGATCTTTCAGCCAAAGCCTGAGCAATGTAGATTTGTGGGGGCCCCTATGCATGGGGCTCTGGGCAATTGCCCTGCTTGCTATTCCCTGATGCTGGACCTTACTTTTATGTTCAGAAAAATAATTGTTGTGACACAAGCAAGCAGTGGAGTTTTTATAGCATGTTGGAGGGAGTGGAGGGAGACTCGGGGGGCGAGGGGAAGGGGTTGAGAACCTCCGTTTTAGCTCATTTCTGTATTCCCTTAAATAGGCCAGAATAAACTGCTACACTGATGTAGGATTGTACTGTAGACTAGTTCCAACTCTCCTAATTGTTCTCTTTTATTACTTTCCCATCTGCCCCCTTCTTTATTTTGGTCAATGCCAGGTGTCTCCTCTCTGTTCCACTTCCTGCCAACTCTTCTCCCAAACCAACTGCCCCTAGAAGTATCTATTTTATCACTAATTATCCTATTCAAAAAGTCATGTGATGATCTTAGTTTTTCAAACCATTCTATGCTGGGATTCTAGCTGTTACAAGCCAACATCAGTCCTCATTCAATAAATCCAAATTAAACTTTTTTTTTTAAAGATGTGCATTTTGATTACACAAAAAATACATTATAAATCTGAAGTCTTTTGGGACTATTATAATGTATGTTCAAAAAAGCACAGAATATATTTTAAACTGAGTTAATCATTTGGATACCAGGAGTCAAACTAAAGGGATTTTACAGTTCCCACAGGCATAAACATCTACTTAGAACAGTGTTTCTCAAAGCGGTCTGCAAAACCATTTTGAGAAACCTCCTAACTGGCCGCTCCAGCATGTTTACTTAACACAGCAAACGGTGAACCTTGAGCCAATGGGAGCTGCGAGGCTTCGTGGCTGCGGCACCGGTTTCACGGACCACTTTGAGAAACACTGAGGCTATGTCTACACTGCAGCCTTTTGTCGGCAGAGACAATGCAAATGAAGAGCTTGTTAGCATTTGTCGTGCCGTCATTTGCATATTCTCTGCCGATGAGGTTTTTGCACAAAAACAAGCAGAGTAGATGGGGCTGCTTTGTACAAAAAACCCTTTTGTGCAAGATCCCTTATGCCTCAAAAAAGGAGGTATACAGGATCTTGCACAAAAAAAAACCCTTTTGCACAGAATGGCCCCATCTACACTGCTTGTTTTTGCGCAAAACCTCTTCCGTAAAAAGCATCAGCAGAGAATATGCAAATGACAGTGCAACAAATGCTAATTAACTCTTCATTTGCATTGTCTCCGCTAACAAAAGGCTACAGTGTAGATGTAGCCCAACTTAAATTTTTTTAGCAGCCACTTCTGCTGTTTTAGGCTACACGCTAGCAAGCTGCGCTCTTTTGTGAACAAAGGCAAAAGAAGTTCTGTGTACTGAGAATCTCAAAGAAGAGGTCTCTGAATATGGTGCCTCCTGCAAAAAAAACCCCACCGAAAAAGTACATGTGGCCCCAATCTTGTTCCCACTGAAATCAACTGGAATTTTGTCAGAATCCAAAGGAAACAGGATCAGGTTTGTTTGTAGATGAAAGAGAAATGTGTTTCTTAGATTAAAAAGGTTCCCCTGATCCTTAGACATGGCTATGCCACTGACTTCTGTGGGACTCTCGATTAGTGTAAGGGGCCACACTAGCAGGTCCCATTGCATGATCACGGCCAAGATTATTACATGTCAACAAGAAATAAATGTATATTCAATCTTATCATGAGTATTTAGTTTGTTTTAGTATTCTTAGTTTCCAACCAGCTTTAATTCCATCCATTCCACACTTACCTGTAGGACATTGACAAGGATCATTGAGTTGGTCACTTGACCATACAGTTCCTGTTGTTTAGCAGCGTAGGAATAGTTAATTAGAGTCCAGGCTACAATACCTGGCCGGCCATTGAAAAACAGCTTGAAATCAAACCACTTCCCTATTCGAGGGTTAAATTCAATCCCCATCATATAGTCATAAAATAAGCTGCTGGTGAATTTGCTAAAAGGTATAAAAAAATTATAAATGTAATACATTCACATGCAAATGTAGCAAATTAAGTTTGAATATAGATTTCAGTTGATTTTCCAATACATGAATTACTGTCATTTTGTAAACTGAAGTTGCGTTACTATATAAACTAAGTAATTATTAAGATGATACATCTGATCCAATGAAGGTAATAGGTTATACTAGATTAGGGATGTGAAACATTAACAGATTCCAAAGGCCTTTGGAACAGCTTCTGTCTGGAGAGCCCGGATGCCACACTGGAAAGGGCTGCTATGCCAGGCAGAGGGCTGGGAGCTGGCAGCAGCCCCAGTGTGGGAGCTGGGAGCTGGCAGTAGCCGAAGCCCCACGAGCTGGGGGCTGCTTCAGCTGGGCTAGAGTGGTCCCCAGCCTGGATCCCGCTTAGTTAACTAGTCAAATGTTTGGTTAGTTAACCAGTTAAATGTTAGGTTATTAACTGGGATTTTACATCTCTATTATAAAGGTACGTTCTGACGCTCAGATCTCCCTAGTTTAGTTTTGATATTTCTTTTGGCCATTTTCTACCCAGATTAAGATATTAGTAAAAAATGAGTTTTTAATCATTGTACTCAAGAAGAATCAATGTTCACATTCAAAGCTGCCCACAACACTGCACTAGCTGAATATTAACAACATACCAGTCTTTGGCATTACTTGGAAAAAAGTAGCTTTTAATCATTGCAAATGTGGAAACGGAGTATCCCAGAATATTAGCACACCACAGGAGAGGAATCCAGTTGTCAAAAATAATGGTGGGTGAGAACCAGTGGAAGTAGTAAGCATTTGCGAACCAGAGAGCATGGGTAATGATCCAAGCTTGAAGTCCATTGATTTCATATTTGTTTACTGTGCCTAAAAAGGAAGAGTTAAATTGTTTAACATTCTGCAATACATCATGAATTAAATATAAAAGGAACATGCTTTTTATAAGCTTTGCTTATTTACACTATCCAAGAGTACAGATCCACTGCCAATTATGAAAAGGAGTCTTTCCATTGGCTTCTCCTGAAGCAATTAAAGATCTCCTCCTCCCAAACACTCAAGACTTATTGTGGCCTCCATCCTTCAAACCAATGAAGGCCTGATGACAACCTGGTGTAGTCATCAACATAGCTGCGTAGGCCTGCTCTTGTCTTCAGAATGGGGATGAAAACGTGTTTCTTAATTGATATTAAATAGCTCAAGGTAAAATCCCAACCAACACAAGGAAGATGTAGTTTTCACACAACCTAGTTCTCTAAAGTACATTAAGAGAATGTTTGTTTACATTTCCCACTGCCAAATATATATCTGGATTATTATAGAAGATTTATTTAACTATAGCAGGTAAGAGATCTAAAGGAGTTACTCAGTTAAAAGAAAACACAAACACTATTGTATAAGGCAAAACCCAAAACCCTTACCAGCAGGGGTCAGAGAGCCTTCTTGTACTCCTCCTACATATCCAGGTACAAACTTGTGGCAGAAATCAGGAACGAATATATATAATACTACCTACAATGTAAAGAATGTACGAACAATAAACAACAGGCAGGGCATAAAACACTGAATACCTATGCACAGCTTATCTTTATACATGCTTATGAAAGACCCCAATACAGGCAGTCCCCGACTTACGTGGATCCGACTTATGTCGGATCCGCACTTACGAACGGGGCTTTTCTCGCCCCGGAGCTCACGGGCGGCAGGTCGCCACGCTTCTCCCGGTCTCCCTGGTCTGCTGGGGGGGGGTCCAGCAAAGCCGCTGGACCCCCCAGCAGACCAGGGAGACCGGGAGAAGCGTGGCGACCTGCCGCCCGTGAGCTCCGGGGCGAGAAAAGCCCCGTTCGTAAGTGCGGATCCGACATAAGTCGGATCCACGTAAGTCGGGGACTGCCTGTATTGGGGTCTTTCATAAGCATGTATAAAGATAAGCTGTGCATAGGTATTCAGTGTTTTATGCCCTGCCTGTTGTTTATTGTTCGTACATTCTTTACATTGTAGGTAGTATTATATATATTCGTTCCTGATTTCTGCCACAAGTTTGTACCTGGATATGTAGGAGGAGTACAAGAAGGCTCTCTGACCCCTGCTGGTAAGGGTTTTGGGTTTTGCCTTATACAATAGTGTTTGTGTTTTCTTTTAACTGAGTAACTCCTTTAGATCTCTTACCTGCTATAGTTAAATAAATCTTCTATAATAATCCAGATATATATTTGGCAGTGGGAAATGTAAACAAACAGTGGCAGCAGCTGAATCTGGAGCCAGTTCTGACTTACATACAAATTCAACTTAAGAATAAACCTATAGTCCCTATCTTGTACATAACCCGGGGACTGCCTGTATTGAAAATGAAGATATGCACACCCATCAAAAGACTAATTCACTGTCATGAAGCAGAATTTCTTGCAGAACTGAATACCAATATAACTTTAATTATATACAAAAGTATATAAAAATTTCCTAAATAATACTTTATAAAAGCTAATACAAAAGAAATGTTTCCATGAAATTAGAGGAAAATATTGGAAAAAACATTTAAAAATAAATGCTTTCCTTCAGTGTTTGTAGTCATGAGTTAGCAGATATGAGCTGCAAGTTAATTAGGTGCTGATTATAAGCAAAGTTGAGACTATTTGCTCATCTTATTTAGTGAAAAGTAGGCTAAAGTACAATAAAGAGAAAAAAGACTACATACAATATTATAATTATATTAGATGTAAAATAGCTCAATTTTAGTAATCCAAGCATAGTAATAGTCTACTAACACAACAGCCAATTCCTGAAATATATTCTTGGCTTTTACTTAAACAGCTACTGAGGCTAATAGGGATGTTAGATATAGTGTAATTGAATAGTCATGTAAAAACACACATAATCTTAGCGCTTACACGACTATTTGATAATTCTTGGGGGTGGAGCCAGCAGCCAATGCTCTCCCTGCCCCACTCCCGGGGAGCTCCCTGCCACTCCATGCTGCTGTTCCTGTCTCAGGCAGCAGTGCGGAGTGGCAGGCAGGAGCTGGTCACCAAGGGAGTCAGTTTAAAAAACAGCTCCACGCACATACCGGCTGCCTGCCACCCTGCGCTGCTGCCTCTTAATACAGAGGCAGCAGCAAGGGGGGAGTGCGTATAGTTGACAAGATTAACCAATAAGCCCAGGCTTATCAGTAATCGTATAGCTGACTACATGTTGACATCCTTAAAAAAACTATGGGATAGTGCCCAAGTGAGAATTCTGGGTAATGCACAAAATTGTGAAGCTTGATTTTTTTTAACCTGTGACCCTTTAAGATCACTTCATTTGTCAGAGTGGATAAAAATGGATTTTTTGGAAAAATAATAAACATAGAATTTTCAATTAAAATCAGATTTTTGATTTTGTTATTTAAGAGACAATTGTTTCTTTTAAAAAAAAACAAAGCTGTTTAACATAACATCTTAATTTAACGCAACACATGTTAGGGCCTAATCTCACAATACTTCTGTTGTAAATGTAAAAAATGTTTTGACAAGAGAAGTTTAGGCATTCAAAATATTTACGGTTGCTTTGTTTAATAAGAACAATTAACACTCTGAAGCTATTAAACTAATTGTTTAAGTAAATATAGGTTACAATGTACCATCCTAGGTAGCAAACGTGTACTAAATGTAGTGGAAAAGCTCTATTTGTTTGTAAAACAAAATGTTTTAATGGTCTCATCAAGAGAATGCACCTTTCTTTACAAAATAACTGAAGTTCATCGAAGATGAGACTGAGGCTTTCCATTTGGTGATTTAATTCACCTTGATTTAAATACTCCCATCACTCGGATATCCTGTGTAACTCCCCACCAGAGTGCATTACACTGCAGTACTGTCGTATCGCCTCAAGCTGTGATGTTGTCTGTTCTTAGCAGAGGAGCTGAGTCTGAACTTGGATGAGATACTGTATTTAAAGAAAAAAATGGACATGCTACAGGAAGTGATGTTGGTGATTTACTTCGTGACAGCCTTCTGGCTGAGTTAGTCAGTATTGATCCCGGTGTTCCAGCAGGAAATGGAGTTATACTGGAGAATAATTCTAACCTGTTATTGAAGGCTTCTATCACATGAGGTGGAATGAGGAGTAATGGTAGTTCGAACTAGAGATCCTAATTCGAACTACCTACTCCGTGCTGCGTGTAGCTGTGGGCATGGAGTTCGGACTAAGGGACATTTAAAAATGGCAGCGCCCGGGAAGATGCAAATGAAGCCCAGGATATTTAAATCCCAGGCTTCATTTGCAACTTTGAATGCCTACATTAGCCTCTCTTGTTCAAACTAGGGGAGTAGTGTAGACATACCCCTACAGTGATGGTGAAGCAATTCAGGGTGTGCGACAGTTTGCAAAGTGCTTAAGACCTATTTGGATGTCAGAAACCATATTAATCTAAGATCCTTTTCACATAAATGGTTTCACTAGAGAAATAATCATGAAAGGAGATAGGCAACACATACATCAATCAAATATGTAGAGTAATTATCTGACTTTAGTCTGTAATACAGAAACGCAAAGGTTCACCTGGAAAGTGACCCAAAAAATATAGATGTTAGCAGCTTTCCAGCTCAGGGATGGTGTTTTGTTCCAGATGTCGGAGAGGTGGGAATTCCCTGTGAGCATGTCAATGATGGGATCCGTCAGAGAGCAGTGGTACTGATCACACGACATTATAAAGTAATATACGATGAGTGGAGAAAACATAAGCAAGAAAAGGACACTGGCCAAGGAAAACCAGTCTACTTCCCTGTAATAAAGACACAGGTTATTTTCCAAAAGGAATTTTGCATTGAAAAAGTGAGTCTGTCCCCACCGAGTCTCAACAGTAGAGAGTTTGTCAGTTCTACTAAAACACGCTACTTTGTAAAGCATGTGGCAAAAATTCATTTACATAAACAGAATTATAAAGGACCAAAACCACTCAGAAGAAAGTGAGGAGAGAAATGTTGTATAGTCTGTGAAGTGCTCTCTCTTGTGAGGTAGCTATGTGTTGCCAAGCACAACAGGCAAAGGATGAGCTTGTGTTTTAGGCCTGGGGCTGAAAGATAGAATGAGAAATTCAAAGCCATATGCCTTACCACAGACTTTCTGCATGACCTTGGACAAATCATTTGCATGTCTCAGTTCACAACTTTCCATCCTAAAAAGGTGGTTTACGATCTAATTATTTAATCCAGCTGTAATGGGAGAAACTTGGACCAGCATAGCTCAGTGGTCAGAGCTCTTTGGGGAGAGCACTCACTTTTTTCACTGTGGCAGAGTGGATGGGATGGAAACTGAAGTTGGGCTCCCACATCCCAGGTGAGTGTGGGACCCGCAGGGCTAAAAATGATAAGGTGGACACTGAGAAACTCTGACAATATCCTTTATCAAATTAAACTTTACTTGGTTTGGGTTAATACATCTGGAGTACAGCGTAACAGAAATGCAACTGTTTATATACTATTGTGAGATACAGGCAGTCCCTGACTTACGCGGATCCGACTTACGTTGGATCCGCACTTACGAACAGGGCTTTCTCGCCCTGGAGATCGAGGTAGCGGATTGCTACCTGCAAGCTCCGGGGCGAGAAAGCCCCGTTCGTAAGCTGCTCCGGTGCCCCCGGTCTGCTGGAGACCGGCTCCAGCAGACCAGGGGCACCGGGCGGGTTCCCGCGCTTCTGAGGCTTTGCCAGAGCAAAGCCTCAGAGGCGCGGGGAACC